TCCTTATGATTTCAATATCGGTCATTTCAACTGCTTTGCTGCGAAAACTAGGTTTCCATATATCTGCAGTAAGCATTGCGCGTTACAAACTGTTCCCTTTGCCTTTAATTTACTGAATTAGTCGATAACTATAGCAACGTCAGGACACCACAGTAAACTTTGGGGTTTCAGACGGCTGACCTTGAATGCTAGCAGTTTTATGGAATATGCTACAAATATTTCAGGCGATGTGCGAAAGAATTACTCGTATCGCCAATGTCAAAGATAGTATATCTGAATGGTACCTGTTAAATGCAAGGATGCTGTCTTCTTACCATTGCCTTTCAATGTCTTTTATGCCCATAGGCACAGAGCTAATACAGGGAAGGACAGTGAACCTCTAATTTGCCGCAGGCACATTGTTGTTGCTAGTTGGAATCATATGACACATTTGCATTAGCAGACCGTTACCAGTTGATGATTTCAGCTGTATTCTCAGTTTTTCTACGCTTTTACGATCCACCTGTTACCGTATCACAGGTAATTTCTGCCCAAATTCAAATTTACTTTTCTCTCGTTTACCCTCCAGTTATTCATCACAATATCTGGTCCATGTCACATGCACTAATAGCACCGTTTCAGCCAGTAGTACGAATCTGAGCTTCATTAACTGACGGCTATTTTAGAAGGCATTTAAAAAGTGGTCGGTCTTTTTCTTAAATCGATTTCCTGTTGTTTTCACCATCTCTAATAGAACAACAGAGGCTCCTTCAAAGTGTCAAGAGGAATTCAATTTAGCAACGAATTTGACGTGTAGAACAAAAATAATGCCTGAAGTTCCACATCTACCTAATTGCAGTGCAAGAAGGATAAACACCAACTATTTATGCTCAACCACTGTGTATTTACTGCGCTACATACGTTGTGGAAGACTCTCATGGAAAAATTCAGATTTAGAGTCTAAAAGTTGCAGATGTCATTTCATGTCTGTCAACCGTTATTTATTCAAACTGACCACTGTGTGGTAGATCTATCTCAGATCAATCGTTCCTTATTTTCTAAAAATGCTATGTCGTCGCTTCTTTCACTGAAAGTACATACACGAAAACCCTTGTTCAATATTCATCATTCTGAGAGATCATTGCCATAGATATACCAGTCAGTCAGTCAGTCAGTCAGTCAGTCAGTCAGTCAGTCAGTCAGTCAGTCAGTCAGTCAGTCAG